AAACCTTTTACATTAGGTAATAAAGACGTAAACAGATATGTAACAATACATTTAAACAGTATTAAGCCTAAATTATTTTTAGGGTTGCCGTTCACGCTTATTTAGAAGGGGTCGCATTTATGAACCGCGAACAAGGAATATATACTGAAAAAATGTTGACTGTAACCTTGACGTGCTGTGACGTGTTCCAAAGAATAATAATAATATATTTCTACAAGAGCAAATACGCGCTATTATAACAGGCATGCTCTACAAATTACAACATTTGTTGACTCACAGTATGCCTCCCAAATGCGGTCATTAAATAGATATAATCAATAAAGGTGGATAAAATTGCATTCGTGCAAATGTATTGGATCGTTAATGATTATGTTTATGCTTTAGAATTATACTGAGTATAGTCTTCAAAGTATTTTCTAAAGTGGCGTCGCATCTACATTACATACCAGAGCCAATATTGGCACAACTGTGTTAGAATTTTGGTCGTGCTAAATATATATGCAATACAACTTTCCAAGTTTATAGTGTTTATAAAGTGGGTTCGTAGGGCGCTTGGTTTAAACTATGAACAAAAAGTGCACATAGAGAGTAAAGTGTTAAGAAAACTAATAACTATATCTTTCATTGTCTGAATCTTTTAGTTTTTTATTCGATGCCAGCAACACAGTCCCAATGTAAAAGTTCGAGTTAGCATGATATAGGTTCTTCTAGTAGAATAGCGAATCCAGCATAAAATTCGAAACATGAGTCTGAGTGGTGAGCGTAGGTGAACAGCTTCAATATCACAGATTGATTTATTTGTTCTCAAACATAAAGAGCCTGATAGAAACAACATGTTCTGCCCCACAAACATGGGTGGCTTGAAGTCATCGACCTCACAATTAATGCTTGATGGTCAGCAACTACATACTCACTACATTTGTGATGTAAGGATCATTCAAGCGTTTTTGAATTTATGTCATACCTCACACAATGCTCTGTGTTTCACGCCTGTTGGAAAAAACTATTTCTATAAGTACCGTTTTACAAGCTTTTTAGGCAGTTAAAAAATATGAACTGCAGGTAAGGCATCGACGCAGTGCTTTAATTGACTATAGTATGAAGTATAGGTTGCCCATCAGAGTATATGCATTAGGAAAGGTATAATTTAGGATAGTTGTTTACCAAAGTAGGTGAAAAATTATAGGAGTATTTGAATTATTGGTAAGGTAATGAAAGGTGAAATAATATTAATGGCAAGTGAAAATAGTGTACTGGAGAGTAAAAAGCTGATAAAGAATAGACAAGGAAGAACTGAAATTAACTTGGTGCTGATGTTATTTTGTGCTATCCTAACCGGTTCATGGGTAACAGGCTCCACATATGCATGACCACTGGTAGTAGGCAATCGACTATTCGGTTCTCTCGACTTTTTGGGCAGTAGTGGGCATCCCTGAGCGACCGAGTTTAGTTGAGCGGTATCGATAGGTCCAGTGAGTTAACTGTCTACTTCAAGTGAAAAATCAGGAAGGAAAAGACATCTAATAGAATTTCAAAGTAGGAAAGTAAGGCAAACTGGACTTATTTGGTTTATCTATGATGTCTGAGTGAGACGCTGATGTGTTCGTTCCTACTAAATCGGTGCAAGTGAGGGCATAATAAAAAATCTTACAGAAGTGAGTGCCATGCGTATTTTAAAAGGAAGACCGTTCCACGGTAATGAATACTTGATGAAGAAGTTCCCCCGAGTTTTTGATTTGTATTTCACAACTTTGACCGTAAATAGTTTGTCTCGAAGATCGTATTCATGTGAGTCTTGGGCAAGAACTATATTACATGTGGAATAAGCAATGTTTTTGAGGAGTTTGAAGTGGTCGGACTTAAGCCTTTTTTCTTAAAAGGGTTCTAGTCCCAAAATATGGCGTCGGGAACTATGTTCAATGAGTGAGTCGGTTTTAAGTATTTTGCGGGTGAAACCTCATTGTATTTCTTCCCTCTTAAAGTATATCACATATGCGTAGGTTGGAAAATAAGGACGAACAGTGTTCATCGATAAGTCTTATACATTCCATATAAAGAATAATTTTAGGTCCATTTTGAAAGAAGTTACGAAGAATACAGCCAAATAATTTGCGCATTTTAGATGCTTTGGTTGAGATATGTTCAGAGAAGTTAAGGCTGTGTGAGTAATTTACCCCTTGGTAAGTTACAGATGTGAGTTTGGGCAGTGTTTTCTTGTTAAGTGTTAGTTTTATTTCATGAGACGTGTCTCTAATACATTGTCAGCCGCTTTTCTCTGTGTTGAGCTCCAACCTCCAGTATTTGCGCAAGTTTCTTACCTTATAATGTTCATGCTGGATTATTTGTACAGCACTACGTACACCGCAAACGTCAGTTTTATAGATAACTTTTAAGTCGTCAGCGTAAAGGTATGTCTTATCTGTGTTGAAGCATCTGCATCTATTGTTGATGCAGACCCAAAACACTACTCTGAAAAACACCATTAGATATTGGTCGAGGTATAAATGTTGTAGAGTTAATATCTGTAACTTGGCATCTGTTGGTGAGAAAATACTCTATCCATTGCAATAGGGAGTTTGTAACTCCAACTGACTGAAGTCTGTTGATTAGCAGTTTATGAGGTACTTTATCAAAGGCTTTCTTAATAACAAAATAGAGCATAACCACTAGTTTCTTCCGGCCACATGTGCGAGTACCCTCGTTGAAAAAGTCTATGTGCCGCAGGAGCCTGTTCTAATGAAGCCGTGTTGTGACGAGTCTATTAGATATTCCTTAAATAGGTGATCACTTTTTCCATTATGCATGATATAACTGGAGTGATATTTATAGGTCTGTGGGTTTCGACTGAGTTTCCCGGTCGTGATTTGTGTTTTGGCACAACATCAGCTGCCTTCCAGGTTTCGGGATATGCATCTGATTCAAAAGATAATGTGTATATTTTGAGTAATATAGTCTGTAGGTGTTCACGAATAATCGTCGATAATATTGCAATTTGTAAAGGAATCAGCGTTATATTTTAGAATCGATAATGAGGACATTAGTATTGCAAAAAGCTTGATAGTACGTGTAGCGGTAAATAAATACCCAAAATCAATAGCTCTGAAGATTTTGATAGTTGATACAAACCACATTAGTTTTACTGGACTCATTTAGCTGAAGTCGCATGGTCATGCGTTCGCACAAGATCACGATAGTGTACGAAGTGCCACGCATCTCTTACAATATCGCTAGTCAGCTTGAGTTATTCACTTCTCGATATATTGATAATCTGTCAAATATATTATTTAACATCTTCGCTTCTGACCTTTGATTTGACTGGGTTGGGACATTTCTATTATAGAAGATGCTACTGGTCTAGGTGTTGCCAAACTCCGAATATTTGTAGCGTCTTTGTGTGTAATCACGGTGTGGTTTATCTTTTAAAATCCTCAACCTTGACAAATCACTTATTTATTTAGGTGTTGCGCTACTCTTAAGATGACAACTATTAAGCGTACATTAAGGAAAATGCCAGGCAACAGTCTTCACAAGATCTTCGCATTTAAAATAGATGATTCTTTCAACTATTCAATAGAATGAATATTACTGATACATTCTTACGATGATTACTTCAGCTCCATGGGTATACCCAGTATACTGAGAAGGATCACTTTTCTATCGTGTCCGTTGTTTCCGGCCCTCAGATTCAGACGATAAATAACAAGGATCACACTTCTAGTCAAATGATAACGTTCTACAACAACCTAGATGCAGATATCAAGTAGCAAACAGTTCACGACTTCCGAATAGCGTAACGTGTTGTTTGGTTAATCGAAAATTGTATTATGAAGGTTGTGGTTACTCGGATACCTACTTATGTGTGGACTTTTCAAATATCATATTCATTATGGTTAGTTCTCAATATCATTAATTTCATGAAATATCTCAGTGGTCCTCTCCCCTGTTAACAGAGGGCATCAAGAAAATAATTCACTTAAAATAATATAAGCGCAGATTGCTTATCAAAAACCCTGAGATTGGGAGTTATAGATCTATCTATAGATCTATGAAATGTATCGATACATTTTATTAAATGCACAAAAAGCACTGATTATTCGTATCCTGGTGGACAGACTTATTACGTTGGCTCTTTCATAATAACTGGTTATTCACAACTCGATGACATGAACGAAACTGAACTTAAACGCTTGTACATTAATTTTTGAAAATGAGTCCTCATCTGATCGAACCGATGCTTAATCGTCCTTCAGTATATATGAATCTGTTTTATAATCATTTACCATCTGGCAAGACAGTAGGAGAAGCCTAAAACATCTCGACCATTTCTAGTAGAACGGGTGAGAAAGAGATCTGACCGTCTTAGTGTTTCTTCACTAGACTTTTTGGCATATTCACCTCATCTCCAAAATTCAGGCTCATTACTTTATTCACACAATACACATTTCCCCTGATTTTTTTAAAAACCGAGCCCCAACTGAAGTATTTTAAATCTCATTTATGGTGCAATAATGTGAGTAGTGTCAGTGACTGATTCATGTCACAAAATTTACTATGATTCTCTTCCAATAACCTCCAGTTTATTCACTCAAATCTGCCATTCCAACCCTCTTGGAGTTCTTACACTCTATTTTTCCGTTAATCGACCAATTAAATCATTTTCTATGTAACATTAATAGGCTTTCCAGTTTCACTGATGTGGTCAGGTATATATATATATATATATATATATATATATATATATATATATATATATATATAAGGAACCGAATTACTTACCCCATAGATATGTGGACACATTTCTTGAAAATCCCCTGGATACTACAGAATTAGACAATTCTGTTAGCCAGATTCCTTGCTACTGTTATTTCAAGGGTAGCCAGAGAAAACAGCGAAAATGATTTTGGTCGCAAGTACATTTGAAGTGGAAGTTCATAAGATTTTCGAATTGTCTATTTAAAGAAGGTAAAGGGTTTGACGTCAGATCGTGTTGTGGCCTCGTGATCAAACTTCATCGAAGGCCCTCAGTTGTTGAGATCTATCAAAACTAAGGAAGTTAGGATGAATGTCCTGGGAGTAACTTAATAATGCAGCCTACTTCCTTTGTAGGATCATGTTAACACAATGCATAGATAAGAAGCAGAAATACGAAATTTAATAAGTGTACGTTTATTTCAAGCATTAAATTATTAGTAGACAGATGATCATGGAACCAAAGATAACTATATGTAACACGAAGCTGGCACACCAACTAACTCATCCTAATAAAGGCGATTTATCTTGTATATAGCAATACATGATGCTTAAAATACAAATATTAGACACACAAACAACTAGACTTCATATAAGTGCACCCAAACGAGGATATAAAAAGGGCCCAATGTTAGGATGTAAATACTTGACAATCATATATATGAAAGTATAAAATATCCTCACATAGGTGTCATAAGTAGTCTATGTTCTAGGAGCTTCACGGGTATACTAAAACGAATATACTATTTCTATTTGATGGAAACTACTTAAGTCTCTTTAAAACACATCATTCCTAGTTTTTATGTGGTTATTTTGGTGATATCGTTATTGGGTGATGTAATAAGTTTACCTTTCAGTAATGTAACCATAAGCAATTTACGCCGATTTTTTTCAATTTTTTCTACCTTTTTGAATTACATGGTTTTTTGTTCCACGCTTCAAAATCTCATTGAGTGCTTCAAAAATGGCTTCAAGCAGTTAGTATAAAGAATCAAGACGTTCAAAAACGTGTGTATTATGTCAAAGGGTGGTTAGATAATAGGGAAAATTTGACTGATACCAGGTTGGAGCAGATTTCACTGGATACATGGCGTTTGTAAGTTTTCTCTTCTAGGGTTTTAGATCAATATTTAGCGATAAAGATGGAGTTCCCACAAATTTTCAATGAAGTTGGAGAAATTTTAATGAAAAACATTACTGCAGTACATCTAGCATTAACTTCAATTCGCTATGAAGTCCGAGTAAAGAGAGTGGAAATGCGTCTGCCAATGTAATGTGTTTATGGTTGAAGAAAATACCCTGGAAAACTGACGAAATAACCTTAACGCGTCAGCTACTTGTAAGCGCTAGGTAATTTTTACAAGTCTAACCTCACCCACAAAGTCAGTTAGGACTCAGAACGATCTAGATTCAAATAAGCATCCTCAATCTGCTGTGATTTTTGATATACAACTTGGTTTAGTGATCCACTGTTCAACAAGACTATCTGCAATAACTTCAGTAGTAATGTACCTAGCAGATACGGACACTGCTCATTGTAAGAAACGATTAACACATGTTTGTTTATGGAAACTACCACTTAATTCTTGAAGAGGCCCTACCAAATTAACGTGGATGTGATCGAAATGTGTCGTTTGAGTTACATGGAGACCCAAAGGATATATTTTTTGTCTGATGCCATTAGATTTCTGGCCCTTTGTATAGTAGGATCTCTAAGTCTTTGTCTTCCAGACCAGCGAAATTGTTGATCAATAAAATCGACGACCACTCGAATATATATATATATATATATATATATATATATATATATATGATATTGTTGTGTCTAAGTTATTGCTTGCACTTATAAATTATGCTAGTTAGGGATTTTAAATGATCAATGTCCCCTTAGGTTCGACAAAATTAGCGTTAGTGCGGTCTAGAAACTACAAGTTAAAAATTCCTGAAACCTTTGTCAATCATTTACAAATATTTTCCAGATTTTAATCCTTTTGTTTAATTATTATGGTGTCATGAAATCTGAGCGTTTTTCTGTTAACACTAAAGTAACACGATAATATTTATTATTGAAGAATCTCAAGATTTTACCAAAGTTATCCTATGTTTATGAATCTCAATCTTTTTTAAGTTAATATCAATCTATGGATACTATTATCACACAAACTTATTTTCTCAACGTCCATAATCCATCAGTTGTTTATTTTTGTTTACATAGACTGAAGTTGCAAGTCGCACATGTTCACTTTCCTCAATCGATGAATCTCTAGCTAGGCAGTTGGCCAAGATTCATTCTGAGCAAGTAAAAAAACAAAAGTTGCGTCAGAAAATTAAAAATGAAAGGTTAGCTATTACATTGAAATGTACAGGTACCGTTTTATACTAGTTCGTTTCTTACAGTAGGGTTTTAGTAACATGCAATAGTTAATCTAATTTTAGTCTGTTAGAAAAGACAACCTTTATGAAATAAAAGGTACACAGGTGAAGATTTAAGAACGATTCAACATTGATCTGACGCCACAATATGATATAGTTTTTTAAAATCCCATTTCATAAATCCAAGATTACATTGATGCATCCATCTTTAATTATGTGAAAAATCGTTCTTCATGTTTAATCAAAGTTTCCTAGTCTTTTGAATACAAAACGCCTATTATTAGTAAATATCACTCACTTAATACGACTGAGAAAGATACAGTAAATAAAATAGCTTGTCATTTTCTCGGTTTAACAGTCGGACATTTGAGAATAGCTGAAATAGTTTTGCGATATATACTGTACACTTCAGTTTAACAGTATTAAATGTTGAAAACCAAGAAGAAGTGAGCATCTGCTTCACTTTGCTTATTAATCCTTGATCATCCTGAAACTAGGAGTCCGCATGAGTATGAGTTTAAGAGCTCATGTTTTTGTGATGAACACAACTCCGTTAACTACCGATTTAGAATGCACTAGTTCAGCATTTTAACTTTAACGAATTTCTGATATGATTTATTCTTTATGATTGGTTAATCACTATTTTTGTCCCTTCGGTCTGACTTCAGTCAATTACGTGAGTATGCAGTAACGTAGATGCTGCTATACTATCTCACACTTGTCTCCAAGGTATGGACCTCCATCCTATCTGTTAGTTGGCACTGTCAAGATATTCCATGCTAAGCCAAAACAGCTGCTAAGTGTCCCATGATTTGAAATAACTTTTTAACTAGAGCTTGTTTACAATGAAAACTATTTTTAAGCTCCACTAGTTCTCACAAAACACCCGAGTAAATACGTCGATAGAACTGTATTCCCTGATGATAAAGTTATTGAAAACAATTGTTCGTCCAAATATTCTTAATTTTTGAACATCAATAATTGCTTAATTTATCTCATTTTCATTTAACATCACATTAGCACGTAAATTACTATTTGATTAATTAGTGAAAAAATGTAAACACATATGTAGGACGTTATACTGTTGATCTTTCTATGGTGCATTTGAAGGCTGTTTCTCAGTTTAATGAATTTCTATTCTTTGATTTTGCAAGCGTTGAAATTCGTGAACTTGAAAACAAATTACGAAGTGCTTATGTAGCTAAAGAACAACTTGCACAAATGGCCGAAAAACGTGCTCTTGCTTATGACTTGATGGTCAGTAAGATGTTGTTATTTTATTTCTCTCAGGACGATACATTATCACTGATTATTTTTCCTTAACGTCATATGTATTGATTAAATTTGACCAACTAAAAGGTGTATCGAGATTCTTTAAGTCTCATGACCAATAGATGGAGTTAATTAATACGAAACTATACACATTATTTTAATGTTGGAAATTATGATTAGGAAAGGGAGATCATTTCATTGTTTAGAAGACAATCCTCTTAACCTTGTAATAGAAATATTTGAATTATCGAATCTACCACAGAAGTATGTGTGATTCCCTATCAATCAGTTATTTTTTATCACCCTCAATAAAATACTTTTTAACCAGACTCATTTACAAAATATTATTTATTTCATTCAACAGAATCTAAAACATGAAGTTTGGTTTTATATGCGAATCATTTTTTCTTCATCAAAGTAACCTCCTTTTATTCATCACCTAATGGGTGTGAGTATGTGTTTGTTATAAATACCTAAAGTTTGATGATGGTTACGAAGCTTTGTTCGACGTTTCGTTATTATTAACGTAAATTTAGTTATAGTTTTATTATGTGTTGTTGAAATATTAAAACATTTTATATTACCCAGTTTTGAGATTAGATATTTCTCATGAATAACATCAGAGGACATTAGATATTAAGAAATATTTATCAAATTTTGGATAAGACTAGTCAAAATATCAATCAGATGTCTTACTACTTGATGATAAATTATCTTTCTGATTTCTGGAAAATTATTAGGCTGAAGAAGCTTTACAAGCTCATCACTTAAATTCACAACTTGGTGATGAATTAATTAGAGCTGAACAAGAAGAAACTCGTAGAAAACAATCACAAATTCAACTTCGAAATGAATTAGATACACAAATAATGGAACAAATAGAATTACGAAAAAAGCTTTATCAAGATTTTTTACATGACAAACAAATGGTTGATGAAGTTGTCAAGCGAATAAAAGAAGAAGATGAATAGTATGTCATTTAGTTTTTATTAACTGATTTGAATTATAAATAGACTCATAAATTACGACAGTACTATTTTTTTTTATACTATTGAAATAATTAAAAAATATCTGTATACACATTCTTTGAACTGAAGTTATTTTGAACAATTTTACTCTAAGATTTATTTTGGGGTGAAGAAACTTGAATAGACAAATAATGTGCATAAGAATTAATCATTTCTCACTTGTTGACTCTTATAAGTGTTACATTCTCTGAACAAGAGAGTTTGATTCTGATAATTCATTGTCTTTCGAAATTTCATCATCATAAACGTCAAGAATAGAGGTTCATAGTAAGATGACTCTATCTTATTTTCATAACTTTCAACGGAGCTCACAAACAACACTAGTTTCCTTGTGTTTTTTTTGACATAATCTCAAACATAATTTTACTGTTTGATGGATTAGCTGATTGATAAGACTTACTTCAATATATCGTCTAACCACTGATTGACTATATTTATTAAACATTAAATTGTATAGAGTGTAATAGTTGATAAATTTTTATCGCATAAGTAATTCATAGTAATACTATTCCGATTGAATAATTTGATTGTTAACGTTAGATTCTATTACTTTGTGTATATCCATTTATTCAATCAATTTATAAGTGATTATATCTTTTGAAATCTTTTGTAGTTAAAATGTAAATTAAACTGTCAGTTAAGCAATCATAGTCATTTAAGAGTTCAATAATGTAATCGAGACATTGTTTGACTATTTCTCAACTGTATATTTTACTTTTTCTTCTAACTAAATCATCAAAATAGTGAACAGCAAAAACGCCAAAAAAGAAAAGAATTAATTCGTCAAGAAATTGATCAATATCAAAAGGAACGTGAAGAACATATAAAAGTTGAAAAAGAAAATCTACAAAAAGAATTGGAAGCAGTTAATGCATATACTGCTAGGAAAGATAATGAACAGCAGTTAATTAAAGCAGCACTTAAATCAAGACAAGAACATATTGAAAAGTTACAAGTAATTCTTTGAATTATTTTCAATTGTTAGTGTGTTTCTATTTGTTATCATTTGTTTAACTTGACCTTTGAAAATAAAGTAAATACATAGATTGTTAGTTCATTTTGTATTGTTTGTTTGAATCTGCTCATCGTTATTTAGGACTGCGATTGGTTAAATGTGCATCCTATGCGGATTGTCTCGATATTGCTTTAAGAGACTGATCAATTGCAGTCCTAAGTATCAATAGGAAGATCCAAGCAAATAATACAAAATGAATTAAAACTTCACCACAGTGCATAAGTTAGTGGCTATCCGTACTCAGTAGCTAAATGGATAGCGCAATGGCGTTTGAAGTGGACGATACTGAGTTTGGATCCCGGAGAGAACATCAACTCTGTGGTTTAGGTGCATCCAAATGACAAGTCTCAAATAGAATCCTGGATTCCACTGCTAGCCACTATTCACCTTTGCTTAGATTGTTAGTGTTTGATCATAATTAAAATCTTATCGGAGCTTCAAACAACTCAATTATTATTACAAAATTATATGAGTAATATTACAAACCTCTATTTCTGATGTGTTTTTGGCAAATACCCTATAGCCGAAGATGGATGCTTGCTAAAGGGATACATAGGGTTTAATTAACAACAATATATGATATATGCAATATGATATATCATAGCTGTAACAAAACTACAAGAATAAACAATAATAGAAAGTGGAAATAGAAAACGAAAAATTGGAAATTTTCATAAATTAAAAACTACACCCATTCTGGTTACAAGAGACTGGTGAGACTGAACATGATATGTACTATTTGCTTATTAGGTTATTGCGAAATAGTAAGAAACTAATATAATCTGAAAAATGAACATAATTGACTAGTAGATTTGATATGCTTGTGAGCAGCTAATGAGCGACAACAAAATATAATGAATCCATATTATTATGTCTCGATATTTATTCTAGCTTTATACAGATTTCAACGCTTCGTGATTGTCAACGGTTACGTAGATGATGTCAGTTCTTAATGAAAACTAAATTCTGAAAATAAGTGTCTGTACAAACCACTTTGAATTTCTGCTTGAATTACTTGACAAAGTTTACATGAAGCACCTTTTGATAGTGCTCTGGAGACTCAGTTAGCATGTGTCTGCAACATAGCTTACCTTAACTAATGATGATGTTCTTTGTTTTCGCACTAGTTTGGCTGGCGTTGTTTGGTGTCTTTAGAACACCCTTATAACTCGTCCGGGTTAACAACATATGATTAGGTCCACTTTTTATGCTACAGAGCAAAACTAATTTGTTTGTCAAGTTCCTTTTACCTTGGTAATATAAAACGCTTCCCATAAGTGTTGTATGAATACTTAAAGATTCGCTGGTCTATTAACGATATTCGTGATCTCTAATAACTTCATAAAATGAAAGATATTTTTGAATTAAATACTTACCTAAGTATACTAAAAGAACAAGTTTTCTGTTCAATGACAATGTAGGATGAACTAGGCAAAAGGCTGTTAGAAAAAGAGAACGAACGCAAAGAACTGGAAGAAATACGTCAAACACTAATTTTGGAAGAAAATGATAAAAAGATTAGAGAAGAACGAGAAAATCAATGGATAACAAAGTTAACTAATCAACGGAAACTCTATGAAGATTATAAAGAACAACTTTTATTGAAGGAACAACAAAAGCAGGTAAACATAAAACTTCTGTAGAAGTTATGGCTCATTGTTTTACCCAATATTTCATTTTCGTTTGTCATATATCTTGTGTATTTTAGTTGAATAGTTCATAATAATCGTAAAACTTTCTGGTAAATTGTCTCAGTTAGATATATATTTCAGTAGGTTATAAATTTAAAGCATTAGTTTATAAGTCAAAGAATCATTTCTTTGTACTGTCAGTTTCTTACATCTGTTTGTTTAGATAATTTATGAACTCGTATCTGGATATAATAAAGTAATTTTGAATGGAGTAGCTTATCCTAAATAAATCTTTGATATGAAATAACACTTCAGCTGGTTAATTTATACAATCATAACATTTTAAACATGAGATTGGTATCCTCTTATGTTATCATGTTACTTGCATTCTTGAGTTTATATGTGTTTTGTTAAGGCAACATCTGATTCATTTTCTAATCCTATGTCCTTCACTAGATTTTTTCTTTTCTTGTCATTGTTTTATAACTTATTTTGATTTTTTCCTATCATATATCATTATTCATAAATCCTTCTATGGAACACTATTATTTTCGTAATAATGGAATCGAACTAACAAACTACATTGGTACTTCAACAATATTTGTAACAGTATGAACATACATTAGAATAGTATCAAACTTATAATTCGATTATTAACCAGATACTCAAGTTAATGTAATAATGAGTGTAATTTGGTTAAATATTAGTTAGAAATATATAGGAATGAATAGGAATTGAAATATAGATGTGTATTTAAACTAAAATTTAGTTCATAGAATATTTACAGTAAGATAATCAAACTAATATACATGTAATCACGTGTACATGAAAATGTACTTAGATAGAAATTCGTAATGGATATACACTAAATAATAGAATTAAAATCAAGCATTTCATTATCATATGATTGCCCAGTCTTACATAAAGTTTACATAAGTAAACTTTTGTATAAACTGGTCAAGTAAATTTATTATAAACATATTTTAAACTTGACTATGAGATACTTATGAAGTGTACTTTTGATATAAACTTGTAAATACAAATTAATTTATCATAAGAAGGATTTTTTTCAGCAAATCACTCTCCATTAGATATGTACATATTATAACTACTTATATAGATTTTCAGTCTATGGGTTTATTCTTTTTAGTAGGTTTCTATTACCTAGTTATGTATCGATTAAATATATCTATGATCTAGACAGTGTTCCTTATAGTATTTAGTGTCACGAGTTGAATACTTGATAGAAAAATTAATACTCCGCTGATCCTTTGTGGGTTTTTTTAACTTGTATACTATTTCTCCTTGGTCGTTACAGCTCGACTGGAAGGAAAATAGTGGATATATTGATCTAAGAGTTATTTCTTCAAATCCGTTATATCTTAATTAACTTATGATTGGATAAAGAGATGTGGTTTGCCTTCTACAGTTGTTCGTTTTACGGTAAGCCAACCATCTCATGGATCGAACACTTAGAGGTCCTGAAAAATATTTCCAGCAAACTTGTTTTACTTCCTTCATAGAAGCTACGGGTGTATTAACAGTTTCTGACTCACTTCAAGGCAATACTATATAGAAGATTTTGAACAGGTTGCTATCTTTGTGTAAGTCGTACGTAAAACCACTCTCCAAATAAGTTGTTCGTTAATTGCAGAAAAATTCTAATATCTCTCTTCTCTTTGAAGTACGTGCTGATAACGTTCAGAAAATCAATTAAGGCTTCGTAACTAAGCCATCAGGCTCAGAGACCACAACCTTAGCCATTTTCTATCCTCTGATTTCAAGGGGATGGTAAAATGCTCTGATATTCATAACTCTGTATGACTCCCAGGTCACTGTTATTGAGAATCAGGGCCAGATATATATTGAGAACTTCAGACAGTGTTACCTGCCTATCTGATTAACATGAAAAACATACATAGCTACTTATACTAAAATCAACCGTCGTTTACAAGTTAGGTGAAGTCTGAAGAATAATTTGGAAAGGATTTTCATTCTTATACCGCTTTTACTTCTCAACATATCCCACATAACTGCCTAGGAGATACTTAGATTTTGTGATACTAATAATCAGTTTTTGAGTAGAAAGAAAATTTCTAAACTTAAGCGCTAGTTAAATAAACAAAGAGGTTATACTTCAGCTAAATGCTGTTGATAGAACTCTATTGGCGTTCTCTTACTAGAAGCCAAAGTTTTTATTACGAAAAGCATTAATAAAGCTGTGCTGGCCTCTAGTTATTGTGCAATAGTTTTTTATAGCGCCATAATGAGCTTTTCGATAACTTTTAGAGAGCATGTGACAGCTCGGAGCGAGGGATAATTTTAAGTTAGTTGACTGATTTTGAATATATTATTTCAAAGTTATGTTTCATGATTAGCTATAATCAAATATGTAATAATTGAGAACATAGAAAGGTTATACACTAAATAATGATTGTAAACATTTTTACTTTCCTATTGTTGTTATTCTTGACTAGATTTTAACCGTCACTGGATATATGGGGTCCTTGGACAAATATCTCAGTATTGCCTGGATTTACATGGTGATAATTCCGGTGATGTTTAGCAAAGAGACCCAAGATACAGATACATCCCATTGATGAGTCCTGACTAGGATGACATGTATGTCTCAGATGAAAACCAGAATTGTACATATGTTTTGTCTAGTGATTATACTGTTGTGCCTATTTATTCGATCTCGATAGTCTGGGTAAAAACTAATTACACATTCCAGTGGTTTGTGTTATTTTGTACAGTCATTCATTTAGCCATTTTACTTACAGAAACCGAATTTGTAATGGCTAAATATACTCACTTAATTAGCCAAAGTATATTCTGTTTACCAACCGCTACAAAGCTAAACGGTTTCTTAATTGATTCCTTTCACACCAAATAGATTGAAAAACAAGAAGCTTTACAAATCCGAAATTACATGTTAGCTAAATTTGAAGAAGACAAACGTTTAGAACGAGAAGAATTAGAAAAACGTCATCTCAAACAAATGGAATACGCTAGTGAAGCACATAAATTGTTAATTGAAAAACGCCAACGTATAATGCAAGAGTATGAACAGGCGAAAAAAGAGATAAATGAAGAAAAGCAACGTATTTTAGAAGAAAAACGAATTGTGGAAGAGGAAAGACAACATTTACTAAGACAACATGCCAATAATTTATGGAATCATTTGCCCAAAGTAAGAGAATCTATATTTTTCTATTTATATTTCGCCTACTACATATGGCAGTTTCAAATTGTGTTGGGAAGAAATTTATACGTGCAAAACGAACCAATTTCTGTTGTAAGAGGGTGTTATGTATGATGATTGACAATCCTTACCCTGTTTGATAAGTCTTTCGATTTGAACTCTATACTCGATTCCTAAGCTATTCTGAAACCCCCAAGCTAGAACTATACAGTGACCTGAACACGAGAGAGAAGGCGCAAAGTATGCGAAAAGTACTTTACTTCAAGGTTCATTTTAATACAGAAAACAGAGGGTTTTTATAATATTCTAAATGTCCTTGGGTTGCTCGAAGATTCTGGAATGCTACTAAACATAGTAGCGGTATAACAATCAACCAATCAGAACCTCTACATGTGACGTTTCATATCCTTGATGTTTCTGGCTAAACTCCAAGTGAACGCTGACTGGATGAAATGCTTCTTAAGGTTTCCTGATCCTTGCGTGTCTGTTGCGAGAACTTTTCTGGATCATTCCAACACTGTTGATTTTTGAACTAATGTAAACAGCTCTCACATTATCCATCACGAACAACAAAGGCCCCATCGTTTTTATGATTCATTCGATTTTGAAACCAATCAATAAATACGAATATGAAATTGATTCGAAGTATTAACCGCAATTATAAAAAGCCGGAAGTTAATAATGCTATTATTAATTATGTTGATCCCGGTGTAATTAATTGGACCAAATTTTATATATCAAATCGGTTAAAAGCCAACATGTGATATCAGACTCTTAGGCATTTTTCTCATTTCAAAATTTTAAGCAAACTCTTAATAATAACTACTCAACATCAGTTTAATCCAAACTGTAACACAATATAGTAAAGTTGATCAATATTTTACTGATAAAAACGTAGTCGGTTTATATCTGCTGGAGCTTTAGTTATGGTTATGACTCCACAATCCCACTATGTTTAAAACAACTTTGAAGTAGTTGAGTTCTCATCTGTAGTACACGCTTATAAAACAACACTTACATTTTAAAATCCGCAGGTTGTTGGATCCTTATGAAATGGTAAGATTTACTAACCCACTTATTAAGCAGATACATGTATCGAAGAGTCAGTCGAATTCGGAGTAACAACCTTTCATTTTTGAGAGAAAAATCAAAGTAAAGTCAACTGCCATCTACCTTATAAAACATTATAGAAATACAACTATGTAGTGGGAAGAAATCCCGGTCATCAAACGGTAACGACATAGATTAAGAGCAAGAACACTACAAATGCATATTCCCTCTGACGTAGCCTGTATACAACACATAAATCGTCGTATTTACGTTTCTTTTTTCAAAGTATACCCCAGAAAAGGGATTATGAAGATGATAGTTAATAACCTGTAAAACTTAAAATGTCCCTGTATATGATATGGTTAGAAGCTTGACTATACTCAAGTAAATGAGATTCTCTAAGATTAAGGTGAGAAGAATGGTGAATCCAAAATATTCAATTTCTTAATTCAAAATTTTATTGATTACGTAAAATCCAGTGTATTCATGGCACCATGGATTAGTACTTAGATCACTCACCGCTTAAACACCAGGTTTCAAGTTCGAAGCCTGCTTTGCCGGACAGTGGTAGTCCTATTAACTGCCGTGCAGAAATATCCAGTGCAAAGTATAATACATTGACTGCGATTGGTAAATAGGCTTTATTATAACGATCATTATACAACTCATCGACGATTTTGGTTGGTACCACAACGAAGATTGTAACAGTAAAAAACCAGCCAACTGCCATAGAACAAGATAAGATCACTAAATCAACTCAAGTTATAGTTCTTTTCTCCAAATTACCGCTTATTTAACTTCGATAAACACCAACAATTGATATATATATATATACATATATATATATATATATATATATATATATATATATATATATATATATATAAGGATATTTATACTTTAATTCTTTTGCTGTTCTATTTTAAATCCATAAACAGGGTATTTTCCGATCACGGGAAGAATATGAATCCCTTAAACATTTAACTTGTGAAAAATAAATGTATTTACTTTCTTCAAACTAAGAAATCCTATTCCATATTTATCATAAAATACTTGTGATTTATTATTAGGATTATATGTAATACTCGATATTTTAATTATGATGCATAAATTTCGACACTCAATAGTAAATTATTTATACACACAATTTTTCATGATATTGTGTTTCATCCTGACTTATAACAAATTAGAAGTTTAATAAAATCTTGAACACTCATAATATTATTTACATCTGTACAACTGCCTTGTAGGCGAATTTCATTTTACTACGAGGATGAAAATATGTACATCGTAAGAAACAATACTTGGACGAGATAATAATAATAATTAGTTTTTCTATCTAAACTCAAAAACCGTTTATCTAAACAGTTTAATAAAAAGTTCACGTTTCACTGTTGATATACGGATGATACACTGATCTTCTTTGGAAGTAGTATCGAACAGCTAAATGTTCTCAAGCAGTTTAATGAAGTACATCCCCACCAGTAAGCTTACACGTGGAGAGAAGTGTGAAGGTGACCTTTTAAGATGTTCTCATAACAGGAACAACCGATAAATCAATAAAGAATTTTAACAGAAAAATCAGTTAAATAAGGTTGTATACATACTCCGTATTTCTGTATCTCTGAAATACAAAGGAAACTTAGCAGGAACGCTTCGCTATAAAATAAAACTTATATTCCCTGCTGATGTGGTTAAATACGAGCTAGACTCCTTACATCTTACTGTCAGAGAAAACTGACACCTGGGGAACTTCTTAAAACCCAACACATTGTTATGAAAGCTGTACTAGGTGAATTACGAACTGTGAGAAATCCATATTCAACCTTCAACAGATCAGGTGACGCAACCAATGAAACATTGGCAAAGAGAATACATAAAACAGTGCATAGAACATCCAATGAGTGAAGACTATAACCAATGTTTTCCATGATCTGATCGTGATATCACTAAAAAACGAAATACCTATAATAACCACCTCCTTTAGTATTGGTCATTTTAACTACTGAAGGGCAAATTACATTGTTCGATGTTTATTGTCAACCTCGTGAACACCTTACAATTTAGTGAAGGCAACAAACAGATCAAATTTCGACCGCTTGGTTCGGACCGGTTACAGTACCAGTGTAAATCGATCATTTTCAATATTCTGTCGGGCTAGTTATCTCCCAAAATGTCAGACTCGAAGTTTCTCAAACGGTGGAAGCAATAGTTGTTTTGTTCTAGAAACCGGACCTATATGAAAAGAAGTGATGCTCAACCAACTTTCTTACCTTGACCAATAAAATAAGTCACCTGAATTATAGAATGACTTAATTTGACTTGTGTACTTATGGTCTTTTCCTTTGTATTTATTCCGGTATCCATCGCTCAAATTATAAATCTCTCAAGAACGTGAAGAATTTAGTTAGCAATTATCCCACTACAATTTCTTACTGAAATTGGTAACATTTAATTCGTGATTATTATTTCTATCACTCCCTGTTCAGTGATTTTCTCCACTGAGTATCAAATAAGTTAGACGCAAAGAAAAGCAGCTTTCTGTACAAAGGAGACATTTATAGTGGTATTATGTCATAATGCATTTATTTTTAAATATCAATGACAATATTTTTTCATTGATAAGACATTCTACATATATGTGCGAACAAAGAAAGTGAATCTTAAAGAGGAGAATATCACAATGTACACATATATAAGATATACATCAGAAAATTATTGATTACTAGTTGGAAGATAAAAACTGGAAGTAAAGGATCAATTGACACCCGTGGTTATAAGTAGTATGACAAAATATTGGATCAGATTTGGTGGGTTTTGCGTTCACATGTACTAATGGTAGTAGTTTGTTTAAAAAAATAACCTTTCAGATAGAATGACATGTGACAAAGGTCAGTCTTAATTTAGTAAACCAAAATACTTCATGTATATTTAAAAACTAAATTTAAATAGAAACTTGAATGAACTTACATCAAGGACGACAAACACAACTAAAGCTAAAATAGAAATTCAAAAAATTATGCTTAAGAGATAATGAAGGAGATTTAGATAGAAGCAAAGAAACTGACAATAACACTTAGGCATATTTCATCTGCGCAGACAATTCACAAGACTGTCTCAGCCATGCGGTTTATTAGATACAGGGGAAAAGGAAAACTTAGTAGAGACCAAGTGAAATATTAAATGATTAAAAACCGTTGAAATACCATAGTTATAAGATGGTCTTAATCATCCTCTTCATTGGTTGAATTTGAAGTATCGGTTAAATAGTCATCGCAAGTGCAACTACTCAGAGATGTTCCACTGTCCTCACTAGGACAATCGATTTCTGTATCAAGGGGCATACACGAAGAGGTTTTTTGTATAACGGTCCAATTAGAATGTTTTCCTGCATCCCACTCCAATGTTGAAGGTTGATGTGCATATGAAGATGAACCAGATTCAGTCTGTTTAGAATTAACACTGGTTGGATGCAGATGGTGTTCAATTATTTCTCCTACATTACGTAAATGCCGCGAGCGTCGACGAATAGCTACACGTTTGATACGTCGTAAAGACTTTGGAGGTGGATCATCTGGTCTGGAGAGATAATTCTCAACGCAGTCGAATGGGATATTCTGCGAATGGAAAATGATACGAAAACTTAAAATAACTGAGAACACTATGAAAGCAGTAATATAATATGCTTGGCTTAAACAACACCAAAAATCCTAGCTTAATGTAATACAAAAGTAAATACTGTCAGTAACTTTTTGGGGACTATCACTTTTCATGTCTAGCTCAAATTATATTTATTGAGGTTTCTCACTCACAATACCTTAATCCCAAATTGTATTAATTCGCTTTTTCAAGGAAGAAATTCTGAGTGACCTTAAGTACACAGACTTGATTCAAGCACGGTCAGATGCCAAAATCTAGTACCTTGGACGCATTAAAGTAAATGATAGGATTGTATTGGTTGGAAATTATGTTAATACTAAGTCGTTAGAAGTGAAATGGTTACCGACATCAATATTATCGAGCAGTGTTGCGAAGCCACCTATGATTCGATATCCGTAGTCTACGCATACCCTCCATTTTTAACAGCCAACTCAACCATACGGCGACAGAGAGCAAACTAATGGACAAATAAATAATATATTTGTAATATCCCAATGATTAGAAAAATTAGATCTGACATTTAATAACTCGGTGTAAGCCACTTCTTCAGAGAACAAAAATAATGGGCAGTATATTTTCTTAATGACGATGGAGTCTCAAGTGATGTCGGCTCTTTAAACCTTGAACACAGATTTCTATTTAATAGTTTCGACTATTGTTTCTAAAACATATTATCTGTTTTACTGCTTGGTATTTATACAACAAATAACTATCCTCAACACTTTGATTTTCATTTCTCCCGTCTGTGTTGATGTGAAGTGTAGCAGATCCGATTGATCTTCATCTGCATCAGAATTAACGTTAGCTGACTGGTTTGTGAATATCCATGGGTAACAATGAAAGTATAAAATACAAACTGAAGGCCCCATTCATATTTTTGGAAGGTGCTAACAAACGCTCAATGATGCGGACATATCTGCGGCTGCTACATGTTTCCGGATCTTGGCCTTCCAAAAAATTAGATGACCATCCCATATATTGAACCCAACATAGTTAGAAATGAACTCAGGGAGAAACATTGTTTTTGATGTTTAGCAGATATATTTCAACAGACGCAAACGGTAGGAACTGTAACAATAAAAGCAGCCAATAGTGTTTCATGAAAGGTACGACGTTTGATATGTTTCTAGGTTGAAACGTGAAATTATGTGTCTAAAAAACTGGCGGAATATTTAAGTAGTTTTAATTGCTTCTGTTGTCTATGAATGACCAACTTAAAAGATATTTTGGAAAATCCTTACAACTGTCTAAACTTTAGCGTTTGGGGAAGTGTTTTCTCTGCTGCGTGCGAAGAGCTAGGATTTACTGTTGAAACAGAGCATGGGTTGACGTTAAGTTTAAGGACATTATCTTTTGTTTGACAATATAGGAGAAAGAATCCTCATAACACCAGAAAAACTGATACAGACCTTTAAACTTTATATCCTTATCCACAAACCATGTTTTATACGAACTAATGTTTAGGAATCTTGTTTCTATCTATCGAAAGACTAATATTAAAACAGCAAACTGACGATCGTTCGGCAAAGTTTCCTTAATGAAAGAAAAATAGTTCTTTATCCTTTAATTCTTTCTTCAAAAGGTACAATCATCATTTTCAATAACTCCCTACGTCTAACAAAATATTCATACCAAAATTCCAAAAGGCTAAAACAAACCTTGTTTCCATTTTGCAATGGCATATCCTTGATTTTGTCGAAGAAATCAGAGGAGAAAGAAGCAGCTCCCTCAACAATCCCAAGTTCATATACTTTCAGTATCGTTAGCTTCACATATTTGTGCATTTCCGCCAATTTATCAGCGGCGTTCCTGAAATGCTGCCAAGAAAACTGGCAGTCTCTGTCATCTATAACATGTTGGGAAAAGCTCGTTTAGTGAGTCAGTAACTACCTCGGTACAGTTCCATAACACAATGAAGCACGCCATTATACATTTTTAACAATGTATCTGAAAACCCAACGAGTTCAACGTGACGATGATTAGCAACTGAATGTTTACGTGCATTCCAGTTGACACTTTTCAAAGGGTCAGGATCTAGGATGGTGGACCATTAACTCAAAAGACCTACCATCCATAACGCACACATTGAAGTTCCGCCAGGAACTTGCGTCAAATACCAATCGACATCGGCACTGCTTTATTTTGATATCTTAAGATATCAAAAATTTTGTCAGCTTTTTAAAATGTTCGGCTAAATAAAGTTAGATCTTACTCTGATGTTAGTTCTATGTAAGAAAGGTTTAAATTCTTTAAATAATCTAGACAATTGGTAATGCAATGGGTGAAGCTTTTACCGAAGCAGCTTCCTCGTTTGGTAGCAATGGATCACCGATATCCCCACATGAGAACCTAAATATTCAAGTCAGGAAGAAAAAAACGTTATTTAGTTGGTCGGAGATAAGATAACTGTTTTAAAGTACATTTATATGATGCCAGGATCAAGCACAAACGCAAGCTGGAGCTGACCATTCCACTTGTGGACTGTCTTGAAGATAAAAAATCGTGTAAAGGACAGGGCCTACCAATTCGAAAAAACTTATACAGGTGGGTTACCTGTCCACTCACGTAAGGCTCTCACAGACAAACAAGAAGAAGATCACGCGTTCAAATTGAAAGCATAAATTGCTTATTCATGAACGCCGCGAGTTCACCAAATAAAATGGATGGGCTACGTGAACTTAGCAATGCTAATAAGGTTCATCTGATAGGAATATCTGAAACTTGGATATCTTCTCAGTTTTGGGACCAGGAGCTAGCAATACCTGGGATGTCTTTCTTTCGCAATGACAGAAAAACGGGAATTGGGGGTGGAGTAGCCCTATACATACAACCTGGCTTGGAAGTACACCAAGTTCACAACCATGAGTTCGAAAATCTTGAGGAATCTATATGGTGCTCTGTGAGATTGTCCACTACTTCGAGGTGCCTAGTCGGAGTCATATATAGGAAGCCCACTGCCGACATCGAGTATGACAGTCGCATGCTGGAAGGACTATCCCGTTCTACGCGTCTCGGTTTCACTCATATCCTGATTCTAGGGGACTTCAATCTCCCTAGAGTCAACTTCACGGAACATACGTATATTGAAGATGAAAACTCAATCGAATCTCGGTTCTTCAACCTCATTGAGGATTTGGGACTACACGAAAATGTGAAGTTGGCTACTCGTTGAAGGAACAGTCAGACACCGTCGTGCTTAGACTGTGTTTTTACAAATGAAGAATTTCTAGTAGACAACCTCACAATTCTGGCTCCCCTGGGGAAAAGTGATCACGCCGTTATAACCTTAAGTTTTGTCAGCAAAACTGAGCTAAGATATCCCAACATTAACAGGCGCTGAAATTTCAAACGGTTGAATGTGTCAGCTCTACGGGACTATCTACAACAGGTGCATTGGGATGTTCACCCTCAACTTTGTGTGGATGCTCACTGGAACTCACTGGAACCTTCTGGCTGAGCCATACTCTCGGACATTTCAACCGACCCACATCAACTATGCTGATGAAGGCTTCATCTGCAACGGCACAGGACTTTCCATGGTGAACCTGAGCGCTGACTTGGTGTTCCGAAAACTGCAGCATCAAAGAACAGACACTTCTCCTAGTCCAGATATGGTCTATTCTTCTATACTGAGGGAAGCAGCTTCAATCCTGGCAACACCGCTTAGCGTGACGTTTTCACACTCGCTAAGTCGAGGCAAACTACTGGATATTTGGAAGCTGGCTCATATCACACCAGTCTTCAAAGGATGTCGACGCAGTGAACCTTCAAGTTACCAGCCGGTGGCTCTTCTCTCTATACCTTCAAAGATCATGGAGTCCCTGGTATACGATGGTATATACGACTATCTGCTGTCCTTAAATTTCTTCTCACCTCAACAGCAAGGTTTCAGGAAGGGTTACTCCTGTATGACGAACCTGCTGACTGGTGGACAGATGGACAAGCATCGTTGATCTCAAGGGGAAGGTAGACATCATTTACCTTAGTTTCTCCAAAGTTTTTGATAGGGTTAACCACATATGTCATCAACAAGGTCAGACAACTGGGTATCAAACCACCTTCAATTAACTGACTCAGTTCATTTCCGAAAAAAATCGACATTTTAAGGTCAGGGTATACTTCATTTTCTCACACGCTATGGAATGTCCTAGTGGGGTCCACCAGGGCTCAGTACTACGACCTCTTCTCTTCTTGATTTATATAAATGATCTTCCTCAACAGGTAACGTCAGACATATTGCTCTTTGTCGATGACGTGAAACTTTGGAGAGAGATAAGCAACCAAGAGGATATACAGGCACTTCGGGAGGATCCGACTCGACTTCAAAGTTGTGAAGACGATAACGGACTTACCTTTAACACTTCAAAGTGTAAAGTAGTCCATATGCAACACGTCGCAGATTATAGTTACAACTTAGAAAACTCCTCTCTAGTAGTATCCCGAGTCGAAAAAGATTTAGGAGTTCTGGTGCCCTACGACTTAAAGTCTTACGCCAACTGTGACAGAAATGCCTTTCGAGCAAACCTTGCACTGGTAACATTGAAGCGCATTTTTGGTCAGTTTGACGGGAGAACTTTCCACATAATCTTCAATAGTTTCATTCGTCCCCATTTAGAGTACAGACACAGTATTTCCTCCCTCACTCCAAAATGATAGGGACACTGGAGTGTATCCAACGGCGAGTGACGAAATCAGTTCGGGTACTGAAATTTAAACCTTATGAAGAGCGTCTACAATCACTTGACCTTTAACCATTAGTGTATAGGCGTCTTAGAGGTGACCTTCTAATGGCTTACAGTATCCTTAACACTCCTGGACATCCTCTTAAACACCTACTTAAGCTTAGTCTCAACACTAACCTAAGGGGTAACACCCAGAAATTAGAAATTAGAGATACAACGTAGTAGAACGGACTTCAGGCACAACTTCTACTCCTTAAGAGTTGTCAAATGCTGGAATTCGCTGCCGGCAGAGCTGGTCCAAGCAACTTCTCAAGAGTCCTTTAAGAGGCAACTTGATCTATTCTTAAGGACTAAGGATAGTATCTTACTATGATTTACCGATCTTTTTTTTTCTCTTTTATCGTTAATATACCTAGGTTCTTGCCTGGAGGTATTGGTGATCCCCTGCTACTAGACATGGAAGCCTGTTAAGCGAAAGCTTCTTCTATTCCGTCCACAACCATTTGAACCATTTGAATATATTTCCTCGCTTAGTTAAATTAACAGTTTTTGTCGCTTAGCAAACATAGAGACTACTGCGTTCACTTTAATTGAATTAATCTCGGTTAAAGTAACACCAAGAGTGTCTTTTTCACGTAAGTAATTGTTCAGTTTATGAAAGACAGGAGGTTAAGTGTTTTGTGTTAGTATAGGTAATGATGGTCTGTGAGTTGGTCCAACTTCCTTCAGAAAGCGTAGAAAGATAAGGGTTCAACCACGTGTTGAAATAATGGACTCTGTTCGTCGATGATTTGATGGGAAAGTGTATAGTCAACTGAAAAGTATTTTGCTATGGGATTATTAACAAATTTTAGCGTCCACGTAGATTTTTTGTTTTTGAAGACAAGAGTAGTGAAGGCATATTCGGAACGAATTTATCACTAAGTAGATAAAAAGCTGGGATCAAGTAACATATGGTTCTGTAGTGACCTACTTTTGTCAACAGAACGTAATTGGTCCAATGAAGACAATTATTATTATAACCAATTGTACCAGCGATTGTTTTACTGTGCTCGTTTGTTTAACTATGCTTATGACAGCCATTACACTCACTCTCCCGTTGACTTTGAACTTGTACGAATTCGGTTACGCTTAGTAACCACACTTGTACTCCTTTGGCACCATCTCGGTATTCTTTCGATACCACGAGATCTCCAGCAAATACATCTCGACTACAACCATCATCTGCCTTCTGATATTAGCCTACGGGGATCTTATTGGTTAATTGGCACGTAGTCTGTGTAGTTGTGTTCATAGCCAATAGCGACTCGACTCCACGCTACTATTGGTGAGCCAAATTTGGGAACACGTCTCAACCTCGGTCAAATCTTCCAAAGAAGGCAATTCGGTGAGTCTATTGTTTATCTATCCACGTCTGTCGTATATTTTCATATTAATTTTTAATATATAATATACTCGACATGACGGATAACGATAAGAGTAGTATTAATATAATAGACTCCGATGTACGCGTACCGAATCCTCGGCACTTTTTATTCGCGTGACGATAAATTCCACGCTTTATTCGAGAAATTCCCCAGGATAACTAAACGACTCGAAGAGATTTCATCGGTGATCAATCGTGTGGTACACCACATAGTCACCCACGGACCACCAGTCACGGCAAGACCACGCCGACTGGCACCGGACAAATTAGCCTTCGCTAAACGTAAGTTTGACAATTTTCTATCTGCTGGTATTATTCGGCCTTCTCACAGTCCTTGGGCCTCTCCTTTACACATGTTGCGCAAAAAGGATGGGGTTCGTTGGAGACCATGTGGCGACTACCGAGCATTAAACATAGTTACGCGCTTCGATAGCTACCCCATCCCCCACATATACGACATCATGGCATCGCTCAAGGGCACGACTATCTTTTCTAAAATCGATCTGGTACGAGCATATCACCAGATCCCAGTCGCTCTTGAAGATATCGAGAAAACTGCTATCACGACTACTTTCGGTCTGTTTGAGATCCTACGAATGCCATTTGGATAACGGAATGGTGCTCAAACTTTCCAAAGGTTTATCGATAGCATAGTTCGAGACTTGGATTTTGTTTACGTCTATATTGATGACCTGCTAATCGCATCATAAAACGCAGATGAACATTATCAACACCTTACACTATTATTCCAGCGCCTTTAGGAAAATGGAATAGTAGTCAACCCAGACAGGTGTGAATTGGGTAAACCGGAAATAATATTTCTGGGTCACATCATCAGACAAGACGGTATTCTGCCTTGCGAGGACAAAGTTCGAGCAATCAAGGAGTACAACGTGCCGTCCTCAATCAAGGAACTGAAGGCTTTTCTCAGTTTGGTTAACTTCTACCGACGTTTCATCCCTCACGC